AATTGTAAATTTAAGAATAAGAAATTGAAACCAACCATTTTTTGCGTTTCTCTTGCTTATACAAACCAACTTCATCATCAGCAAGAATTTCTATAGCGCTTGCTTTGGCTAAGGCATTGAAATCATGATCCACCGCTAAACCACGTTCTGCATTTGCTTCCGCAGGTGCATAAGCTAAAAAAAGTAATGTCACATTTTTTAACAGAACCCTTCAATGATTTCGATTTCTCCGAAGCAACATCGAAAACATCGTAATTCCAGATATTTATACCATTTAAAGATTTTCAGTCAAGTAGGGAACAAAAAGCATATCGAAATTCTAAAGCAATTACCAATAAAATGCTTTTTCTTTTCTGCCAATAGCTCATCAGCTTTTCGCTTTCCTCCCTTGTATTTTTTTTGCGTCAGTGCATTTATGGCCGAAAATTTCGTATTTTTTATCACTGTTTGAAATGTATTTTTCTGAAATGCATTCGTTCAGTTCAAGTTCAAGAAATAATTACCCAATTTGTTACAACGCAGTCCAAAATATATTTTATATTCAAATTCAATGAATTAAATTATCAATGAGGAAAAATTTTACTATTAAGATGACATATTTTTATTTGTATTTGTGACTGGTTATAATAATATAACATAACGGTCACCGCTACAATTTAAAAGAATTAATGGAATATGATGGACATGTTCGATGGTCATATACTGCATCGCAAAAATAAAAAATCCTACGATTTTTTTTATAGAAGAAAATAAAGTACTTATTAAAGAAGATTTCAATTAGAAAGTGGTAAAATTCATATAAATGAAGATGCAAAAGTGCGAAATTATGATAGCTAAACTCACTAAAATGTCTTCGCTTGCTTCAAATATAGGATCGGCTATTTTCGACTGGTCGAGATCAGCACACTTATCCGAACCAGTTTTAAACTGTATATAATTCTGATGAGCCTTACGTTTTTCCTTCATAACAGCTGCTGATAAAGTCTTACTACCACTTTGAATTTCAAAGATAGTCTGAAATTACAATTTACAAATAAAACATACATGGCCTTCGCAGATAAAAACAAAATCTCTCTCATTTCGTACTCAATAATTAATAATATATTAAGTTTTGACTCAATCCATTAACTTAGGCTCGAAACGAGGGAAATTTTGTCACACTAAAAAGAAAATAGATGAGCTTATTCCGTAAAGAATTGTCCTAAGTATACATAAATCCATGACTTGATAAAATATTTCCAATAACCTACTGTTCTCTTCTCTGCTGTCTGCATTTATTTTCAAACATTTATAACAATAAGTTTGGAAAAATTCTACATACTGTTGTCGACTTAAAATTGTGCAAATCTCGAAGCAACGATTGCCTGACAGTTTCTTCCGGTGTTTCCTGCTGAAGAAATGGATGAACCGAAGCCTTGAATAATGCCTCCTTGATTTCATCTTTTGCTCGACGTACTGACTCAGCTGATGGCTGTGGACGAATTTTCTTATATTTCTGCATAGCATTTTCTGATTTTTTCAAGAGTTCGTCCTAAAATTTGAATTTTAATTCAAATAAGTTTAATATTTGAGTACTGCTGATAAGAATTTTAAGGTTTACCAATTCATCCGAATTGTCATGCACATTTTTCAGAAAATCAATTTCCCTATCAATAATACCATCTGGAAATATTCCGATCAGTGTCTCATCTGAAATCGATACGTAAAGTGTATTAGAAGCGAAATTTATAATTATATTAATGTTAATTCCGACTATTCATGTATGTCGGATTAACTAAAACTGTTACAAAAATTTATGAAATTGATAAAATATTTGCCTTTATTGACAGAACTAGTTGTTGCGAATTTTAAAGGACGACTTAGAAACAGGAAGAGATCGATCACGTATGGCACTTCGTCTGTACCGAATAAGCTGATGGCTTTTCCGGAACGGCCAGCACGGGCAACTCTACCTGCAGTAAATAAGTAATCGAAAGTTTAACAGGAAACATTACTTGTTTATGAGAAATAAAATATTAAAGCCTCACCAACACGATGAACAAAAAGTTTCGGTTTAGGAGGAAAATGATAATTTATTGCAACATCCAAAAGCGGAATATCGACTCCTCTAGCCGCAATGTCTGTCACAATTAATAAGGAACATTCATTCTTGCGAAATCTGCAAATTTATTTGTTGATATAAGCGAAAAAAATATTTGCAATTTTGAAAATTTCTCACTAGGATGAAATAATCAAAATGGGTATGTCATATAACAATTGTCACATAACTGCTGCTACAGAACGGAATTTTACAAATGAGAGATGACTGTCATATTACGTCACAACTGTAATTAATTCATACTTTTGAATGTTAATATTCCTAGCTACAGAGTCCAACTGGCTATACAATACCACGCAATCGATTCCAGCTTTTTTAGCAACTGCTGCTAAATATTCTACATGCTTCATTGTTGCACAAAAAACAACAGTTTGCTCATTTGCTGCTATAACTTCACGAGCAAGATGTAAAAATGCCGCCAATTTATCATCTGCGCGACAGTGTAAAAATACCATTGATAGCCGGTCACTTATTTTTTCAGTAAGATCAAGTCGAACTGAAAAAAAAAAAACTTCAACTTTATTTTTGTTCACATTTCTTAATCACTCTGAACTACACAAATAAAAGAACAAAAAACTATGCTTTGTAACATGGTAAGGGTTAATTATTTAATTCTTTGAAAAAAACTTGCACAATTTCTTAAGGTTTGATTTCTCGCAAAAAAAATAGCCTGCATTGAGCAATTTATTAATTTAATGTATTCAAAATATATCAATTAATACAGTTAATTTGTGATGGAAGTTACAAAACAACTAATTTATAAAACAGCTCATTTGTGATGAAAGTTACAGATACATTCATTAGAAACTGACAAAATACCTAGAACTGGATCTGAAAGGCCTGCTTTTGAAAAAGCAATGATACTCTTTGGAAGAGTGGCTGAGAAGAGCAAAGTCTGTCGATTTTCCGGTAATCGTTTCAGCACTTCCTTAAAATATATTGCATGAGATTATTACCTTTCTATAAATTGAAGAATTTTTAGAGATGAAAAAATTTTGACTTCGATACTTCTGGCTTGCCAATTTCCAGCAAAAATAACCACATTACGGTTAGTATTATCATCACCTACTGGGAAAGCTTCTGATAAAAAGTACGTACATATCAATTTATATCAGCTGCATGTTAACTTGATAATCTATTTAGTTTTTCGAAATAAAAACTGAATTTTTAATATCCTTAACAACTCTTGAACTTATCAAAAATTTCTGCACAACGGTAAAAATGTACGTGAAGTTGTTCAGCAAAGCCCATTTCAAATAAGCGATCTGCTTCATCAAACACAATAATTTGCACTGCAGAAAGACGAAAGTCCATTTCAACAAGAACATGCAGTAGACGTCCAGGTGTTGCAATCACGCTAAAATCAAATTTTTAAATCCTTGAAAAGGTTATAAATGCCTATACTAAACTATAAGAACTGCTAGATAACTAAGGAAAAGATTTACATATCCGGTTTTTCGTGAACAGCTTGAAATTGTTCCTCGATACGATCGCCACCCACTAAAACTGCACAACGTAAACCAGTAAATCTTCCCAACTGAAAACAAAGAATAAGTTCGATATTTATGAAAATAAGAAAATTTAAAATTGCTTCCAATAGATGTAAAAAGATGGATATTTTAATCATAACACATTTCAAACATATTTCAACACAATCAGCAGTATTCAGTGCAGTAAATCAACAAGAATTATTTAAAAATTAACAGGACTTCTATTAAGAATCAGTGATATGACGAATGTTTTCTTCTCCAAAGCACAAAATTTATCACTGAAAAATTTTTTAAAAAATTAATCAAAACGATCATATAGACATCTACAGATATAAAATCATTGACTTTTATTATGCTCAACACTATGCTCCTTAAACTAATAATCAAAAGAAAATATCAACCTCCTTAACTACAGTGAAAGTTTGCATTGCCAGCTCTCGTGTCGGTTCAATAATCAAAGCGCGGATGCCTTTCATATCGCGAGTCTTTAATTTCTGTAAGATTGGAATAACAAAAGCTGCTGTTTTTCCGCTTCCTGTTCTCGACATAGCAACAATATCTGCAAATAATAGTAAATCAATACAGCTCGTGCCGAAAATCAAATGAACATATTCCTAAAAAGCATTTATTAAAAGAAGTTTTGCAAAATTTTTGAGTTTCGAGATTTATTTTCAAATAGTGAATATGGAAAAAAAAACGCACATAAAAAGCTCAAGACAACAACATATCAATGGAAGTGAAACATTTAAACCTTTTCCATCAATAATTAATGGTATTGCTTTGCGCTGAATTGGTGTAGGCTGACGAAATCCTTTTTTTTGAATTCCTTTGAAAATCGTATGATCCAAACCTATTGAAAGACATTTTAATAGCTTATAAGAAAAAAAAGTCAAAAATACAAACTTATTCCTTCAATATGGCAATCGAAGTGATATTTTAAATTATTATCCAAACTATTGTACTACTTTCAAAGTTTAAAAAACAGTGGAAAATTTATACTATCAGAAAATAATAAATTTCCAAATATCAACACTGAAACATACCAATGGATTGCCATCCTCCAGCTTGTCGTTGCTTTCGATTTCGGGCACTTTTCAAAGTATCATACAGTTCTTCCGTATCCGAACTACATTCCACTTCACCGCTACGCATATCTCTATGAATCTTTACCAAATTTACAATGAAACACAAATACGCACATTCTCATCACTTAAAAACAATAATAAACTCCAAATTAACCCTAACTTGACCTCCAACCTTCTCTAACCCATAACGTCAGTCTTTCGTCGCACCCCGGATCCCAACCTTCCAAACAGACTCGAATCAATGATTTCAGGTGAATCGCGCTGGTTATACCGGTATTTGGCGAATTCGGCTTTTTCTGTCGAGAATTCGGCAAGAGCGAGGAATGTATAAATCCTAAAATATGTACCTTCTAAAGTTCTCTGCATACCCCGCAATCCCGGTGTTTCTTAATCATTGCCATAACAATTTTGCTGTTCCTCTTCTCAGCATATTATCCATTTATCATTAAGCTCTCTTATCATTTGTACTTCCACCTATTCATTCATTCATTCATTTTTCTCACTCCTCTCGAATTCATCATTCTTTATCAGTTTCTTTCAATTCTTTCACATCTATCGTATGTCAAGTTGTGTTAACTGATTTTGATTATATTATCATAATCATTTTACAGTATGGCAATACAATATAAAACGAAAGCTCCAAGTGATGAATGTAGATGGATATGCATATATCCATTATATATGAATTCTCGAAAGACCATTGCACAGGGACGACGAGTGAGCAAGAATAAAGTATGGTATCATTCAGGTTAAAAAAAGTTTGAAGATTTCTTTTCTTCAAAAGCATTCCAAATTCAAATTGTTTATTTCTTCTCGTAGCTTTATACTAATATATTTTCGTGTTTAAAACTTTTTTTGCTACTAAAGAAAATTTTTTGAAGGCAGTAGACTCACCAACAGCTCAAGAAATCTTCGATATTTTGTCGAATGCTGGCATGAAAGTCAAACTTGAGGTATTTTATCTTTTTTTTCTCATGTACAACTTTGCATGTCTATCCTACTATTACAGTAAGCTTCAGATGACATCTGTCAGCTTTATTTTCAAACTGTGATATCATCAAAATTGTACAAAAATATTTTTTGAATGAAATAAACTTGTTTTTTTTTTCTTTTAAATTTGACTGATTTTGCGAAGATACATTTAGTTTGCTTTTTTCTGTCACTTTCATATTCTGACCTGATTGTGTCGTTTCATTTTCAGAAACAAAAAATGCATCCTTTAGATCCAAATCGTGATGCTAATTCGCAAGGAAGAGTACGAGTGCAATTACGGAATGATGATGGTTCCTTATGTGATGAAAAATTCCCAACAAGTAAGAATGTATTCCTTTTGTCGATTAGAAAATTTTGATGTTACAGCTGTTGTTTATGGTTTTTTTTTGACTTGTACATTATTACAGGGATGTCGCTGATGTTATACGCATGTGAAATGGTGCCAAAATTGAAAACACGTCAAGTTGGTGGTGGGATAACATCACAAACTTCTTCGGGTGGCGGAATTGGTGGTGGGAAAGCCAATAAAAAGAAGAAGCGATAAAATTCATTTGTATATTATTTAATCAAATTCGTATGTCTCAAAAGTTTGTTATACATATTATACTATTGTTAATATAAAAGAATTTCAAAAAGATTGAAAATAATCTTTAGTCAGATCGATGTGATATGGTTGGATTTTTAGTGGTAGCTTAATTTTTTATAAACTTTAGGTTTCAGTTCCTCAAGATCTTTTAAATGATTTGATTGTTATGTTTCTTTTTTAAATAAAGATCTCTTATTTTGAGCGAAAATACTTTTTTAATTTATTTTATTGAAAATTTTGACTTTTTCTAAAATTATTTTATTTTAGATTTCTTGCAAACGCTGATCTGTGATAAATAGCATGCCGATAAAAAAGTTTGCGGAGATTTGCTGCATATTGGCAGATCAAATCAACAATCTAAACTTTACATTCAGCTGATTGATTTGATAACATATTCCATACTTTCTTAGGTGAGCTGAACATGGCTATTATATTTGGACGGCCTAGACTTCTGAGAAGATTCTTGAAACACTTGTCTTCACATCACCTTTACAGTAAGTAAAGCAGTGAATATATCAGTCGAAATTAAATCTATCGTGCATTATTACATTTCCTTCTGTCAACTAGAAGTCTACCATCTCGTTCAAATCAATCAAACCGTTAAGGTTATTACAGGCAACCTTTTTTAAGGAAGAGAATATTTCATACTATTAGCTTAGCAGAATATTATAGTAAAATATTGTTATGTCTAAGTTATCCAAAACTTTATGAGATTAAGGTCATTTTGGCTAAACTCGTTCCATATTATTCACATATTTTTATCAACGATATCATTTACATTTATGATATTAGTAAACTGAACAGCAAACGTTTTAAAAATGAAAACAAGCTTTCATACAAGCAGATATCGGAATATTTCCAGATTTAATTCAGAATATCGAATTTCGCGAATGCGCAGTCGTTGGAAAATAATTTCTTGATCAGAAATATTTTGCATATTAGTTCGTGCGAGATTGCTATACTTGGTGAATTTCTTCTTAGCTGGGAATGGTGGCATTTGTTTGCGAAGTTTTATATAACTATCAAAATGAGGCGCCATATTGTGTTACACTTTGTATCGTGCTGTATTCTTCACTCTTTGTAATTCTTATTCCTTGAATTGGTCATAAATATCAATAGTGGAGATGATGATAAGATCATCATAATTTTTAATTATTTCATTTAAAATAGATCATTATTCATCAGACAATTAAGAAAACTACGGAATAATACATTAATACTTCATATTTAGAAATAATAGCAAAGTATCGGAATTGTGAACATCAGAAATAAATGAGTAGAAGGATCGGAAAATAGATGAATATTATTTGATCTGTCTTGAATCTCGAAAGTGCAAACATACTCTCGACTGCTCCATACAAATAACACTTGTATATGAGATTCAGAAGCGACTTTTCAGTGGAAACATTCAGTGTAATTTGCACAAAACATGCAGTCACTGAGTGTACATTCGTAATTTGCGTAAAATATAATTGATCTTAGTGCGATCATATTTAATCTAATATTAAATTGATTAAACAATCAGAAAAGTTGATATCGAGCACGTTGTCTCATATTTTTTAAGTTAACGTAAAGGACGTGTAAATGACGAGCAGTGTTTAAAATCTTGCAAGAAAAAATACCCTCTGTTCTTCTTATCATTCGTTGTGTTACAATGAAATATTTCTTTTTCCTCTCTCCCTCTATAGATTCTCTTGTTCCCCTTCCTCCACCCCCGTATCCCCGCTATTTCCCGTATCTAATCTAATTTCTTTTTGAGAAATTTTACTTGAATCAATCAACTATTTTTTATCATTCGTCGATAAATTCATATTCAATCATCATCTCTTTACGTCCAACAAACGTTGATTACTATCGCTTAATCATTAGACGTGTTATGTGTAATGATTTCCTTTAATGTGACATAGTCATTGCATCTATTTTAAACATGAATCATTTTATTGTGTACGTAAAAATGATACGTAGCATTTTTATAAAATGGAATGAATAATAGCAGTAGTGATAATAAATAATAATAATAATACTTAATAAAATTTAATAAGCCATCGCAGCTTCTTTATATTCTGTTGGATCGGTGGTGAATAAATCTTCCAATTTCCACTGTAATGTCTCAAATGTAGGCCTTTTTTCGGGTTCCTTATGCCAGCACTGCAACATAATATCGTAGAGAGCCGCCGGACAACCTGTCGGACAGGCCATCCGATAACCATTATCCACCTGTTGCAATACTTCTGCATTTGTCATACCTGTAAAAGTAATTAGCACAAGAAGAAAAGGATAAATCAAAATTTTTAATTTAGTTAAATTAATGAGGATTAAATTTCACTTCTTATTCACCTTTAGATTTTTTTTTTTCATTTCTTAAGCACGAGAAAAATGGATGAGCCAAATTTTTCCACCTTAATTAAATTTTCATCTTAGGATGAAATATGACTGTTGAGTAAAGAGTTTAGGAAGAGGAATAATATGCTTCAAATAATTTTAATATCTAATAATTTTTAAATCAACAAAAATTTTGTTAATAATTGCTAAAAAAATTTTACCCGGGTAGGGTAATCGACCATAAGTAACAAGTTCGATAAGTAATATTCCAAAACTCCAAACATCTGATTTAACTGTAAAACGATTATAGTTTGCTGCTTCTGGAGCTGTCCACTGTAATATTTTCTAATTAAAATGATAAATTTAATTCTGAAAAATTATTCATTTGATCCTCAACCGGAAATCTTTTCCTTACTAATAGTGAAATTTAAAAGAAAAAAGTGAATTTATAAAAATAGTAGAAAAAGTGAATTACTTTAATAGGAAAACGTGCACCAACACGTGCTTCATATTCATGTTCTCGAATTAATCGTGCCAATCCAAAATCAGCAATTTTAACGCATAATGCATGTGACATGAGAATATTACGAGCAGCTAAATCACGATGGATGAAGTTTTTCTCTTCTAAATAACTCATTCCTGATGCTATTTGCGCAGCAATATCAACTAATTGAGCCATTGGACAATTTCTTCCTCGACCCTTAAAACTTTCATATTTATTTTTTTTAACTGGTTCAAAAAATTAAAAATTGTTAAGAATGAATTAATTATCTTAGAATATTAGTTTTAATTGCATTTATTGATATTTGTAATGAGATAAGAGTGATAATTTGAAATATTTTTACTGTTTTTTCTCTTAATTTTGAAGATTTATGGATATCTTATTCACTTTTAGATTTTTGGAATATTGTTATTATTTGATTTTCTTGCATTGAGGAATGAAGTAAGTGATGAATTAATTTGCTCTTGGAGTTTAATTTAAAGAGCTAAAATTATCATTAATTTTTTTTAAAATTATCATTGATTTTTTTGAGAAAATCTAGAAATTTTAAAATTCATTTTATTGTCAAAAAAATGCTTCGTTTGGTGCTCCTAATATTCCATCATTTCTTATCAGTCAAATTTATTTTGACCAATGGAAGTATTCCTGACCAGGAATAATTCCATTGCTCAAAATAAATTTCAATGATTTAATATATTCAATTTAAATTTTATAACAAATTTTACCGCATTAAAACTTTAATAAGATGGTAAAAAAAACGTAAAATGCATAAATGTACTTCCTCAGTGGGAACAAACGGATGAAATGAATATTTCCAAGTTTGTTCAAAGGAGCAAATGAACAAATTGTAAAAAGAATACCGCAGTGACAGGTATAAAAAATAACTGATAAGTTATTCTTGCCGAGGTGATAGAGGTAAGAGAGTAAAGCATATCGATATTGACGTAATAAACAAACCTGAAGGAAATGCAATAAATTTTGATCCATCAATTCAGTGATAATCAAAATTGGCTCGTCCTTGGTGCATACCGCATACAATTGCAATAATTTCGGATGCCTCAATTTTTTCATAATTTGTGCCTCTGATAAAAAATCATTCGGATCCGTTGTACCACTTTTGAGCATTTTCACAGCAACCGGCGTTGAATGGTTCCATCGACCTTCCCATACCTGTAACAATTCATTATAGCAAATTCATTTTTTTTTCTTCTTCAACTCTCATTCTTTTTGCTTGTTTTTTAAAATAATCCTATTAAATATTATTGATTTATGAAGATTTCTTCTTGAAAATTTTTAAAAATTTATCATAAAATATTTTTTTGCATCAAAAAAAGGAAGGATAGGCATGAATGAATAGAAATGTATTATTTTTTTTTCTTTAGAGGTCAGGCCTATTATCTCAAACAAGGCCTGGGATGAAAAAAAAAAACGAAACTTCCGATAATATTCAGATATGATAGTTTTTTAAAAATTAATTTACAGGAAAAAATTATTTCATCAATTACAACAGAAAAAAAAAGAAGATTGTTGCAACCTTTGCCTTTTAATTAATCCTAATGAATTCTATGATATAAACATAGCCAAATGTAACTTCTTTTGAAAATTTATATTACTGTAAATTGTAAATAAAAATAGAGCAAGATTATCTTTTTGCGCGATTAGTTCCAATTAAACTTTGGAATATTCAACATTTGCATCGGAATGGTTTAATGTTTGTCGCGCGAAAACTATTTGTTCCGTTGGTAAAATGATTGATTCCGATAAAAAATATTTTAGAGTTTTAAAGCATTTATAAAAATTGATCGATAGACAGAGCAATTTATATAAAATAATGAATAAAACTTATTGGTAGTTGGTAATCTTGAATTCGAAGATATATA